AGAGCTTTTAAATCGCCCTACCCCGGAGACCATCTATTACTACAAGGATGGATCTAAATATCTGATGAGGTGACAAGAAGAAAAGGGAGTGTCATACAGAAATAAACCTGGAAGGGTAAGTCCTGATTCTGCTGTACTTTCTTTCTCCTTCCTCTACCAATCATTCTAGCCCTCATAACGATGGTTTCTGCAACCCATTGCCCTTGTGACTAAACTGGTTCCGAAGATTCAGCAAAGCATGTCACATGTTTTGTTGGTAAAGATGAACTCAGTGCTGAGTGCAGTGCAAAATGAAATTAAGGGTCAAAAACAATGCTGCAGATCAAAAAGAATGAAATCTTGCCATTTGCAACTATGTGGATGGAACTAGAGGGTATTATGCTAAGAGAAGTTAGTCAGAGAAAGATCAGTATCATATGACTTCACTCATATGTGGAATTTAAGATACAAAACAGATGAACATAAAGGAAAGGAAGCATAAATAATATAAAAACAGGGAGGGGGACAAAATATAGGAGACTCTTAAATACAGAGAACAAACTGAGGGTTGCTGGAGGGGCTTTCGGTGGGGGGGATGGGTTAAATGGGTCAGGGGCATTAAGGAAGACACTTGTTGGGATGAGACTGAGTATTATACATATGGGACGGATCACTGGAATCTACTCCTGAAATCATTATTGCACTACATGCCAACTAACTTGGATGTAAATTAAAAAATAAATTTAAAAAATCATACTAAAAACAAAATGAAACAAAGAACAATGCCCTGGAACTGAGTAAAATGGCAAAAAGTCAGGTGGAAATGTTACTCCACCCCAGAGCTGGCGCAAATAGCACCCAAAGCCTCAGGAATCACTAATGTTTTAATGGGAAAGGACACTTCGCTAATGATGCGTGATTGTTTTTGTTTGTTTGTTTGTTTGTTTGTTTTTTCCTTTTATTATGAGAGTAAGAAGAGAAGAAAACCCATTTGGTGGGCCAGGGCCAGAGGATTTACCAGATATTTGCTGACCCACTGCATCTCAGTGTTTCTCCGTCATTCCTTCAAACTCTCGCATTATCGCCCTTTACTACACCTTCCAGCCGCCAGCAAGACATAATCATACGGATTCTGCTTGAGCATGGGGCCAGGGGCAGGCAACCCAGGGCTTCATGGCCTAGAGGGGGACTTAAAAAACAATAATAAACCAACTAAAAAGCCAGTCTGCTTTCTATTATCACCATGGCAAGCAAATCTAAACAATGTCAGTAATACTCTGCTCTCCCCCAACGGAAAAAAGATCTTTTGTTGAGCTAGGTTCTAAACAATTGTAGCAGTTGCTGCTGGGTTTTAATAATATACATGTAAACTTCAATGTAGCACATTTTTTTATTGCTTCTCCTTTAGTAAACATCTTCTACATGGAACCTGATTCGGAGACCCAACTCCATGCATTTATTTTGAGGGTAAGTACATAATAGAGCTTGCTCTGGGCACAAGTCTCCCACCTCTCCTAGTACATATTCTGATGTTCAAACAATGGATTCAAGATAAATAACGATAGCATAGTAATTGTAAAGACAAACAGAACTTGAGTTATTTCAGTTGTCCTTCTATGTCACCGCTTGGAGTTTTTTACTGTTTAAATTTTCTGGGATTTATCGTGCAATGGGAGTTTTATGCATTTCTGCCAAACACCTCCTTATGTTTAAGACTTTTCCTATTGATTTAATATGTTGCTTCATATGAAAGAAGCCTTTCAAGATTAAAATTAAAATTAATAAAAAGTGTTCTTTGATCAAAGACAGATTGACACTTCATGAATATGGGAAGAAAAACAAGTTTGACAAAGTCGCTGACAAAGTTGCAGAAGTTACTGGCGAAAACAGAAACTACAAAATTACTATTCATCACTGTGAAAGACCAATAAATAGGTCTAAGTTTTCATCTCTTTCTTCAAAACAATACGTTAATGACATTGAAAGTATTACCCCCAGATTCTCTTCCTTTTATGGGATATTTATTTTTAATTTTTTAAATTTTTTTTTCAACGTTTATTTATTTTTGGGACAGAGAGCGACAGAGCATGAACGGGGGAGGGGCAGGGAGAGAGGGAGACACAGAATCGGAAACAGGCTCCAGGCTCTGAGCCATCAGCCCAGAGCCTGACGCGGGGCTCGAACTCACGGAGTGTGAGATCGTGACCTGGCTGAAGTCGGACGCTTAACCAACTGCGCCACCCAGGCGCCCCTATTTTTAATTTTTTAAATGACAGAATACATTTCATAAAAGAACATTTCTTTCCTGACCATTATTATTGGTTTCACTGTGCCATTACCGCTAAAAATAATTTTGTCCTATAGGAAGGGGGCTGTTAGAAATGATCTGCTCTGGGTGTCCAATATGAGCCCCACCACCCCAGTCTTTCACCTACTCTGTACTCGAGTACAGCCTCCTCCCCCACCCCACCCATCCCTCCAAACAGGACCTGTTAGTCAAGTATTAGAGAAAGGTAGATCTGATGCGCTTTATTTCTTTACTGTTTATTTATTTAGAGAGGGGGGAGGGGTAGAGAGAGGGGGAGACAGAATCCCAAGCAGGCTCCCCAGTGTCAGCGCGGTGCCGATTTGGGGCTCAGTCTCACGGATCATGACATCATGACCTGAGCCGAGATCAAGAGTCAGACCCTTAACTGACTGAGCTACCCAGGTGCCCCAGATCTGATGCACTTTAAATGGTTCATCCCTCCTCCCAAGTTCTTCTTCCATCTTTCTCCCACTTTTTCTTCTAAAGACTAGAGTTAGGTTACAAAATTAGAAGGGTTAAAACTAATTCTTCCACTCCCTTTTCCCATTAATTGAGGTTAGAGATGAGCAGAGGGCTGCCTCCCCGGGATCTGCCTACCCACCTGTGTGAGACAGGGGAGGGGGTGGGAGAGAGGAGGGCTCAGCTTCCACAAGCTTGCCTGGACTCTTGGAACCCTGTGTCAAGCCAGAAGCCCTCAGTGGCTTTCCTCTCTAGAGGGAGTTTGATAACTCAAATCTTAGCACCCTCCTAACACCTCGAGAACACTTAGTCCTAAGATGCTGCATTTAAGTCCATTTAATGCTGCACGTTGCTCCCACCTTCCACCCCCAGACCACCAGCATCACCCCTAATCTCACAGAGAGAGGGCAGTTTACATTTCAGTCCATACACAAACCCCCCCCCCAACTCTGATGAGCCTGATGCCTCGAACTCTGAATAATCAACTCCAATCCAGAAGGAAAATATTTTCCACCCAAATTTAACACAGGATCATCATCACCCTTCAATTCTCAGAAGGTCTCTACGTCTCCAACAGAGATTCATTATGTCTTTAAGTGTAGCGTTTCCTTCATGTTGGTAACAGGGAAAAGTTATGATATTTATTTTTCATTTTTCCTGACAGAATATAATGAATTCCACTGATGACCTATTTCTGAAATCCACCAATCAAAGGAAATTGTAAAGTTCACCATAGTAACAGCTCAGTGTCAGTCGCCTGAGTGAGAACCACACAGCATAGGAGGCCCCGGCCAATCACGGGGCAGAGTAATGTTACCATCTCATAGCAACCAAGAGATCTGCATGGCAACATCAGTTGCTATATGAAAGAAAAATTAGAAACAATATTCTGCTAGGGAGAAATAAAAGTATTAACTGTTAAGTCATACTTGAGTCACGGTTGGAGGACCTATCCTAAAATATCCACCTAAATATAGCTCCAATAATACCTGTCAGATCCAAGAGTCCATGTGCTAGGAACCCCTCGCCCACCACCGACTAGAGCCACTTGAGCATGAAAGCGAGGGGACTACCCATGGAACAGACCACTTCTGAATAGGAAGGGAAAGAGCACTTGAATACTAGCAGCAGTAGGCAGATTTGGAGGGTAAATCACACGTAAGTCATCACATTTAATCCATGAGAGAGGCAGGGCAGATACTAGTATTACCACTAAATTCTCCATTTCCTCCTCCCATCCCGAACCTGTTCCTCCCCCAGCCGCAACTATCTCAGCCAATGGCCACACAACTCTTCTAATTTCTCAGACCAAAAACCTCACAGGCCTCCTTGACTCTTCTCTTTTTCTCACACTCAATCCAGTTCATCAGCAAACCCTGTTAATGCCACTTTCAAGAAATGTCCAGAATCGAACCATCCTCCACCCCACGTCCACAGCCATACCCTGGTCCAAACCATCGTCTCTTCCTCCTAACCCATGTCCCTGCTTCCTGGCCTTGCCCACCTACATTCTGTTCTCAACGCAGCAGCCCGAACAACTCTTCCAAAACACAAGTCCTACGCTGACAACCCTCTAGTGACTTCCCATCCTCTCTAAAGTAAAAACCCAGGGGTGCCTGGGTGGCTCAGTCAGCTAAGCGTCTGACTTCGGCTCAGGTCGTGATCTTGCAGTTCGTGGGTTCGAGCCCCTCATCGGGCTCTGTGCTGACAGCTCAGAGCCTGGAGCCTGCGTTGCCCCTCCCTGGCCCCCACTCTGTCTCTGTCACTCTCTCAAAAAGTAAATAAACATTAAAAAAAAATACCTAAGTTCTCCCCACGGCCTACGAGGCTGAACACAGCTTAGCTCCCTCTTTTTCCCCTCTGCCCCCACCTGCTGCTATTGTCTGCTCTGCTCACCTGCTCCAGCCCTACTGGTCTCCTTGCTGTTCTTCCAGTGCACCAGGATCCCTCCTGCCTTAGGGCCTTTGAACTAGCGATTTCTTTATTTGGAACGTTCTCCCCACCCCAGATACCCTCATGGCTCACTGTCTCACTTCCTTCAAGTGTTCACCTCAGATGTCCCCTTCTCAGTGAATCCTTTTCTGACCTATTTTAAAATCTTTGTACCCACGCCATTAGCCCCCAGCCCCTAACCCCCCCTTCCCTGGAAGTGGGCACTAGAACAGTGCCTGGCACTTAGTAAATACCTGATAAATGTCTGATTGTGAAGAAAAGAAGCACTGTTTTACAGATAAAGTAAACTCCGGAAACGAAATGAGTTCCTCAAAGCCTCACAGCCAGCACGTATTAAAGTTCAGACCTGAACTCAGATTTGCCAGAGACTCCCCAAACTGTGTTCTGCCTTCTCTACTGCGTTTTGATTTCCTTTTCCAGATCTGCTACCTCTTCTAATAAGTGCCGGGAGCCCATTAATTCCCTGGGACGGGAAGAGGGGCCACTCGGTTGATGGGGCATCTGTGGGCATGGCCGCAGCAGCAGTGGAGAATGGGGGTAAGCTGGCCAAGAGCAAAAATGATGCACAAGGAACACTTCCCAGTGAATCAGGAAGTGTGGCTAAGGCCATGTCGACTGAACAATGATCTGATACCCCACTGGGGATGACCTACCCCACCCCTTTACTTGGTACTCTTCAGCTATCCTATCTCTTTACCCACTCAAGTAAAAACAAGAATTTAAATGGAGTTGTTAGTCTGTAAAATGTTTCAATTCTTGCTAGTTTGTACTCAAAGAGTCTCAGAGTTGTATTAAGTGTACATTGCATGACTGGTAGAAAAAACAAACAGAAAAATTCAATCACCAAATGATATGTGTTCTGGTCTACACAATAGTTTTGGGTTGTGTTTCTGTTTTGTTTTTTTTTTTTTTTTTAAAGAGAAGCCACCTAATGTTATGGCATTATGTGGAATTTTGTGTTTTTGTTAAAACTATACTAAAAACTCATGGTCATGTGCCCACGTTTTCCACCCTGATTCTGATAGCAGGTGGTAAGTGGTGGAGGAGGAGATGGGTGAGGAGATGGGAGAGACGATCCAGAAGCAGAGAAGGGAGAGAAATAAACCTAAGGCAGGAATATGTTGCTTCCATGGCCGGGACTGGTGATCGAGAAATGCTGGTGTAGACACAGACATCGTCAACAATCTTGTTGGGCACCTGCTGAAGACAAAAAAAAAAAAAAAAGTACAGCCCTTTCACCAGGAAACTAGAACATGAAAAACAAAATCAGGAATAATAGTAGCTATCCCTTCTTGAGCATGTGACAGCATGGCAGGCATTTTGCTACGTACTTTCATAAAGTTTTATATTTAAGCCTCTCAGCAGCCCTCAATAAGAGGAATTTCCCCTCCTCCCTCCTCCCACCATTATATAAAGTGACCTCAGAGAAACTAAATGATTTGCCCAAAGTCATACAACTAGAAAATGATAAGGCTGAACCATTTGCTTCCAAAATCTTCTTCTTTTTTTTTTTTTTTTTAAGTCTCCACACCCAGCATGGAGCCCAGCATGGTACTTGAACTCGCAACCCTGAGATCAAGACCCTGAAATCAAGACCTGAACTGAGATCAAGAATTGAACCCTTAACCAACTGAGCCACCGAGGCACTCCAACCAAAGTCTTTGTTCTTAACTATTACACTACACCTCCTCTCTTTAATAAGATTAATTAATGTGATATAAATAAACATGGAAGACACAAGGCGACATAAGGAGGTGGGCATAAGGAATCATTAAAAAAAAAACAAAAACCAACCTTCCGTGAAACTACCCATCCTCCCAAGTATCTTTGTATGGAGAGCGAGGCAGGTGTGTGGATGTCCTGAGGGGGCCAGGCCTACAGTCCTGCTTCTCATCTCAAAGGCAATGCCATCCCTCCTCCATGTCATGCCATAAATTTATCTCAACATTGACAGAAAAGGAAATGCCAATGCTGTGCTCATAAAGGTTCATGTTGCTAAAGGTTGCAAAACACATATTGTTCTATAATCACTCCCTTGTTGACATAAAACTCACAAGTGAGATGTTTCATTACACTGAGAACCCAGGATGGTGAGCTCTCTCCACATAGTGAGGGCATCAAGGGTGGGCACCAAAAGCAAATGGAATTGGGGGCCCTGGAATGTTTCAGGGAGACTTCTGACCTGATGGGGAGGAAAGAGCAGGTGTGTGTTAAAGCGACGACCCCTCTTGGCTGCATTTTATTCCTTCCAGTATTTTTCCTTAGAAGCAAACTTCCACCTAAACAGAGAGAAATGAAAAACCCGTTACAGATTCCTGAATTTAAAAAATTGTTTAATGTTTATTTATTTCTGAGAGAGAGAAACAGAATGTGAGCAGGGGAGGGGCAGAGAGAGAGGGAGGCACAGAATCTGAAGCAGGCTCCAGGCTTCGAGCTGTCAGCACAGAGCCCAGTATGGGCTCGAACCCACAAATGGTGAGATCATGACTGAGCCAAAGTCAGACGCTTAACCAACTGAGCCACCCAGGCGCTCCCTGAATTTTTTTTTTTTTTTTAAATCAAGCCTGCCTTTACAGAAAACATGAAGCCAATATGCTATAGGGTCTGGCATTCTGCCATAGTCCTGGGAAATTTCTACCCAGACTAAACTTTCTGGCTATTTAGCCTGAGAAGTGGCTATTTCTCTGTATTTAAAGGTGGTTTAACTGCATTGCCTAATATCAGGACCATCAGTTCATTTCTATATTTTTCAAGCAGTAACAGCTCTCACCTTTGCAGTGAAGCTACCCTTAACCATGGTAGACCTGAATGCCCTTAGCATTTATTATTTGGACCAAACATTAGGCACTGGCATATTTGCCATGGCATACTGTAGAAGATAGTATGATCTAGAGGAAAGGATCCTGGAATCAGCTCTGAGATTTGCTAATTGTGAGCTTTTTGGCAGATTATTTATCCTTTCCTCCCTTGAGTTCTGTCATCCGTAAAGTGAATTACAAGCATATTTAATTTATAGAAGTTTTGGGTGAGGAGTAAATATTGCGGCAGGGCCTAATATAGTGCCTGGACATAACAAGTTATTATTTTAAAAGTAAAATACATAAACAAATGGACCAAAAGATGCCCCAAATGGGAATGTTAACTTTCTAACTGGATCTCTTAATCCTTGCTGAACTATCCTAATTAATTATGCATGATTCTCTCCTGAGAACCAAAGTGCACACAATCCCATCTTCGAAAAGGAGACGACTTACCTCCCCAAATTTTGAGACAAGTCTGCTACATTTCCCTCAAAACCGAATGTCAGTTTTCTTGTCAACATACTCAAGGACAAAGCCTCTCAATCCACTGATATCAAATATTAGATTTAGGCTCAATGTTTCTCTTCTGACTGCTGCAACACTGACTGCCTCATTGCACCAAAACTATGGTTAAGGACAGCGTCATCTTTGACTCACTCATCTTTGACTCCACAGGTCTTCTGCTAACCTGTGAGTCCATAAAAACTACCTGTACAATGATGGTGTAGATTTCAGGCTATAAATCCTGTTTAAATGCAGATGGCCAAACTTGAAGTGGGTTGGAATAGTCTTTTGACAGATGAAACCCCAATTTCAAACGATATAAAACAGGCTGTATGCTAGCCCTTCTCCCTTCAGACCATCTGGGTAACGTATTTGGCACGGATATCAGGTGAGTTTGATGGATGCCCTCCACCCTTCCGGGAATAGGACAAGAGTCTTCCCTGGTGCTCATGGGAGTTTATTGTCAGGAACTTGGGATACAATGAAGCTGTTGGACCTGTCGTCTGACTATTGCTGGAAGGTACAGCTGAGCATAAACTGTGGCAATAGGGGTGAGGGCAGGGGCAGTGCTGACACAAAGGCCCAGCTCAGGCATTTGGCTATTTGGGTGGAGAGTGGAAGCCCTGTTGATTTGCCGGAGGAGTCAGTGAGCCCTGAGGGAAAAGAATGCAAAAGGGAACTTTGGAACTGAAGGGAGCCTGGGGATGGGAGTCAAAGCCCCAGATGCCTGAATTCTGCCCAGGGGCCCTGGCTGACTGGTGGTGTGGAAGGGTGCTTTCAGATAATACACAGGAGAATGCTAGCCAGATATCCTCTGAGCCAACTCGAGGGCTCCTGTCTCTTGTTCCCCAGAGGGAGGTCTCTTAGGAAATAGAATAAGTCTGTCTCTTCAGGATGCTAATGAAGGAATCGTGAGAAAGAACGCTCACCCTCAGAGCAGCAGATGAAGTCTGCAGACAGCAGAGCAGGAGTGGCCCCAGTGACAATGGCAAGAAAACGTGAATGGCTTCCAAGGAGAATCTACAAGACATACTACCGTCCTTCGGTGCAGGCAAAGGAGGACCATGCTTTGGAGGGCTCCACAGGACACAAACACAAAGAAGAAAATTTTAAAGAACACATGGCCGCTTTGTCGCTCAGGGTCTGGGTCTCAGCTGTGGTGCTCTGAGACCCTCCCCCTAAACATCTGCTTTCCTGACTGACTTTGTTCAGGCCCCAGGGACACATCTCCCCACATCTCTGGCCTGGCCTCCAAATGTCGTCGTTGATTGTGGCTTCTGCTGCTGTGGACTTCATAACGGAGCACTGCTTCCAAGGGTGGGTGGGATTTGAGCAGCTAAAGCACTCAGCAGGCAAGAGAAGAGCACAATTGCCCCGTGTTTCTCCTCAGCACGAATGGGATAGATTATTGCCTAACAAGGTCCTGTTTTGCAGTAGAGCCGCAAGACAATCGTCTCGCTTTTCTTTCGTGTTTCAATTTGTGGGTCAAAGAATGGCACGTATTTTATAACTTGTTTTCTTGATTTAAAACATGTAAGTAACTCCATTGATGTTTTTGTCTGAGCCCCTTTAAATGTTAGGGACCTGTTCTGTGAGTGAGCCAGGACCCCACCCCCAGAAGGAACAGGAGGGGAGTGCCCAAGGCAATGATCCTGCTGCACGGTGTGGGGGAGGGGGGTCATTACCTTTCCATCTACTACCCAGGCCTCCTGTGTCTTCTCCCAAAGGGTGTGGCCCCAAAAGGCCGGTGTTACCAAATACTGAAACCAAAATCATCCTATTTGGCAAACATTCTCCAATATTGACATGGGTGCTGCCTCCACAGCTTGTGCAACAGATCAGCCAAGGCAGCACATTGAATAGCTGGCTTGCTTGAGTAGCAGGAACATTTTTACATAGAACTTCCACTCTCCTCCCTTCCTAGGAATGAAGGAAAGAGAACCTCCAACTTCTGTCCCCGCCGACTTGCTGTTGCTATCCAGGGGAGGAATGGTGGATTTAGTTGGTCAGAGCCGGAATTTACTGAGCCACACTCTTATGGATGGTGGGGTGATTGGGTCTCATAATAGGAGAAACAGTCTCTGCCTCATAGAGTTCAGATTCTTCCTGCCTACCCCTGTGCTTCACATCTCCATTTGGCAGGAAAACTAGAAAGGGGTTCTCGCAAAGGAAGGATAACCCTTTTCCTTCCCTCCCTGTTCAGCCCTGGCTGGGTGAGTGAGAGGAACTTTGACCTGCCCAGCTGGCCCGGTTACTGGTTACAATCTGTGCGGCAGGTCTAGTCCTGTGCTTGAAGGCACACGTGACTTCATGAGTCCCAAGGCAGAGATTCAGGGTCAGAGATGGGAGGTCATAGGTCCAAGTCATACTCCCTAACACATTTCTCCAGAACTCCTGTTTGTTGAAGGTATATCAGACAAGGTAGGCTAAGTGGCTGTAACATCAGACCCACTACATGAGAGAGAATATGGAAGATCATCTCTCTGATGTTTCAGTCTAAGGTGACTGGGTCTCAGTTGGGAGACAGCTCTGCTCCACACAGTCTTCCCGGGCCCTGGGCTGACAGCACCTCTCCCATCTTCAACATGTGGCTTCCGAGGCTGCTCTGTTCTGGCCGTCCAGGAGGGGAAAGAGAGCAGTCCAGGGAGAGATTCCGCTTAAGCAAAGGAGGTGGGGGTTGCCCATATAGCTCGCTCGCATAGTCCATTGACGAGAGCTCAGCTGGAAAACCTGCCTATTCTACAGGAGGCCAACAAACGGGAGCACAGATGGAGGGAGACAGCTAGCATTCTCCACCTCAAAGGAGTTATTGAGCCTTGTAAAGAACATACAGGCTGCACTTTTACTTGGAGGGGGACACGCTTCAGGAACATGCTGAAATGTTAGTTTGTTGACTAGTCAACTAGTGGTTGACTGCTAAGTTACTCATAAAAATGTTCCAACCCAAACCATCTCTTACCTATAAACAATTACAGAACTCTCATCATATATTTATTGAATTATTTGGGCAGATTCAAAGATTTGGGGATAAAAGTAAACACAGGTTCTTCTTATAGGCCTCATGTAGGCTGTCTTAGGATGAAAGACACCTTAAGACTCCCAAGTTAATACATCTTTATCAGTTTGATTGCCTATCTCTAAAAATAATCGATGATATTATGACCCATCCCTGGTAAAACATTGTGGCACCTTTTAATTAAGAGACATGGCCTAAAGGATATATTGGCTCACTCAGGTTCTCCAAGCAATAATCCTAACTTCCAATATTGTTAACTTCTTTAGGTAAGATCATTAGAAAGTCATATACCTGGGACATAGAAGTTTAGTTGCTTCCCCACCCCCCCAAAAAATTGCTGAATTTTTTTTAAGTTATGCACCTGAGATTTTTGAGGCACAATATTTTAAATGTCTACTTAGGATCATTTATTTTCTTTCATTAAACAGTAGTTGAATACTTTATCCTTTAAGTTACTCATTATTTCTTACATAAGCACTCATGCAGCAGACTCCTGAAATCCTGAGCTGGAAAATTTCATATCTTCAAATGAATATACTGCATCTTTTTTTTTTTTTTCTTAAAAGAACCATGCAATTTACCCCCTCCCCTGTTTTAGTTTCTAAGGTTAACATTAAATTGAACAATCAGCTATAATAGCTGGTTATATTCTGTTGCCTGAAATCTATGCCCTGGCTTGTTTTATGCTTTCATAAACTTTTTTACTTTGGAATAATGGAATAATTTTAGATTTACAGAAAAGTTGTAAAATAGTGCAAATAGGTCCTATATACTCTTCATCCAGTTTCCCCTAATATTAGCATCTTAATTAATCTTGGTACATTTGTCAAAACTAAGAAATTAACACTGGTGCAATATTATTAACTCAGCCACAGACTTTGTTTGGACATCACCAGTTCTTCCACTAATATCCTTTTTCTGCTGCAGGATACTCCACTGCATTTAGCCCAGCGTGCTTTAATTGAAAGGTCGTGTCCTGGCTGAAAATCATTCCTAAGAAATGTAATGGCTAGGAACTAGAAAAACATTTTTTTATTTAAAATTTGCAAAAGATTTTTTTTTCCAAAAAAAAAAAAAAGAGACATTAATTTATCCTTGGGGCAAACTATTCCTTTGTTTGGGGAAAAATACTCTGGGGTATTTAGTTACATAAGTATAAAACAAATACACTGTGTGTCTGTTGAAGCCTACGGAAAAGCCTTAACTTTACATATATTAGCTGGAGGTTTTCAACATAAACTAAGAGTTCTATTATGCAATTGAGTTGGGTTAAAGCTTTGTATGGGTATATGCTGGCTTTGTGCCTCTATGGGAGACAGCCATGAGTAGAGGATGGAGTTTTCCTAAAATGAGCAAACGTTCCCATTGCCAGTCATCCTGGGAGAAGACAGCCCTTGGGACAGAAAATGGGGACTTGGGAGGATGGCCTTATATCTCAGTTAGGAATGAGAAGGCTTCCTTCTCTCCTAGAGTTGGATTTTTTTTTTCAACGTTTATTTATTTTTGGGACAGAGAGTGACAGAGCATGAACGGGGGAGGGGCAGAGAGAGAGGGAGACACAGAATCAGAAACAGGCTCCAGGCTCCGAGCCATCAGCCCAGAGCCTGACGTGGGGCTCGAACTCACGGACTGCGATATCGTGACCTGGCTGAAGTCGGACGCTTAACCGACTGCGCCACCCAGGCGCCCCTCCTAGCCTTGGATTTCAAGTAGTGAAGACAAGCTCAAGGGATTCCCAGCGGCGGGGATGAGCCCGCCCTTGCCACATGGAGACAAGTTGAACACCACCAAGTCTCATGAGGCTGATTCGCGTCTGCTGGGCTCTAAGAGCAGCAATCATTGAGATATCCACCAATTTGTATCTCCCCTGTGCTACTCTTCTAAACAGGTCTTACCCCAAATTGTGGCTTAGTGCCAGCTGTGCTATGGGGAGTTAAGGGTCAGGCTGGGGATAGAGTGGCAAATAGGAAAACAGTAACCTCTCTCCCAATGCCTCAGGCAGCCTAGCTAGAGAAGAAGCTATAGGTTCCATATCTCTGAATACACATGAGTCCTCACCTTCAAGACCTCCAAGAAATACCTGGGCATATTTGATGAGCATATTTGATGGAAGTTAACTTCCTACAGTGTCAGGTAGAGGCTCAAAGTCATCATAAAGTGGGTATTAAATGTGACTTAATTTTATGGTTCTGGACTACTAAGGTCTATATGTATAGGTTATACTAGAGTTTCTGCTCTGGTTTACTTTAATTGCTTAAATTCATTCATTCATTCAATCATTCATACTTATAGAGCACCCACTGTGTGCCAGGCACAGTTCTAATCACTGAGAATGAAAGAGAAAAAAGAAAAAGATGAATCTGACTTCATGAAAAAGTCCCTACCCACATGGAGAAAAATACATTGCAAGGTACATTGTGTGCCTTCTAAATCCTAATGAGGATGTCAGAGAATTACAGATATTTTAATTTTTAAAGCTATGATTTAATTTAAATATGGTTTTGCTACATGATAAAGAACTCTGATTCAGTCTTAAAAACTTGAAGGATTTAGTAGATACGGTTCATCAGGAAGGTTTGGGGAGCACATCTCCATCCTAAAATAACTTTCTGAGAAGAGAAAGAACCCTCTTAAGACTTTTGGCTTCTCTGTACCCCAAGCCCAGTAGTAATCATTGAGATTTCCTCTTGGCTTATGGCCAAAATCTAAACACTATCTTGGCCACTAACATCTGAAAAAACAGAACAATAAAGTCTTTAGAAACAGAGAGTCTTTAGACATTTCTTTTGAAAACAGCGCTAGAATAGAGCTTCTAAATCTTCTAATTGCCCCTGCTGACGTAGTCTGTTATAAAAACACAATAGTGAATAGGCAAGGACCAGACGATTCCAAATTGTCAAACATCAGAGAGATACTACAAATCATCTCTCTTAAAAAATATGGCTGTCAAAGCCTATGATCCTGATTGCAAAGACATCTGTGACTAAATAATGCTGGTTATGGAAATTGCTGAAAAGTTATAAATAAAATGTTAAATAATACAGTACAGCTAATTCCCCAGGTGTTGTTTCTATTCTCAAGTAAGGATCTACATGAACCAAGTGACAGCATACAGCTTTCCTGTGGGTGTAAATCTCTAGAGATATTGTTCACTCACATTTGCTTATGTCCTTTTACTTGATCAGTCGCAATAACATTACTATTTCTTGCTTTGTTATTTCTTCTTTCCAATCCACATCAGTAGCTTGTTCTTATAAATAATTCAGCATCTATCTGGGCATTTGTTGGCAATATTCTCTTACATGATGTTATATAGGAAGAGGGAGAGCAGTAATGCTTAAATATGGGGAAATAATGTTTCTTTCAATCTTTCATGCTTACAAAGTGGTTCTGTCACATCTTTGCCTCTGAACTTACACTGAACTTTCTCTTCCAGCAAGTCTGGTTGCATGGATTCAAGGCTGCTGCAAAATTTGATATAACTGAAACTTGATAAGAAGTTTCAGTCCAATCAAGTGTACCTACAAAATAATCTACATACCTGTAATTCCTGGTGATCTTGCATCTACTTATATGTTCAAATAGGCTTTAAAGGAAGCACATCAGATTATCTGTCTGTATACACTAAGGGGCCAGCAGAACCTTTTATTGCCCCCCGTCCCAGCAAAACAACAGTGGTCAAATGTTACCCCAGTCTCAATTAATCCCACTTAATACCAAAATAATATATATGAAAGATTAAGAATATGGAGGAGCTTATGAACACAGAACTCTGAATTTAATTTAATTTTTTTCAAACAATTTGAGACAACACTGTTAAAATTTCCAGGACAAATTAAAGCCAGGTGTTCAAATTTGAGATTTGTAGTTGAAACCTTGCTGGCTTACTTCCCACAATACATCCTACATATCCCTGGAACTATTGGGAAGTTCACTATAATTGCAACAGACATTCATCTTCTGGTTTCTAAATAGAAGTAAAGAAGGCAAACTTTGAAAACAGAATGGAGTCCATTTTGGGGGAATTATATTTATACCTTTCTTGATTGACCAGGACTAAGAGTATACCTTTTGTAAATTATGAAAACCTATAGGAACCCGGGTCAAGTGTTGACTCCAGGCCCTCTGCACATGCTGTTCCCTCTACCCAGAACACTGTTTCCTTCCTGTCCACTCTAACTTCTTTTTTTTTTTTTTAATTTTTTTTTTCAACGTTTATTTATTTTTGGGACAGAGAGAGACAGAGCATGAACGGGGGAGGGGCAGAGAGAGAGGGAGACACAGAATCGGAAACACGCTCCAAGCTCTGAGCCATCAGCCCAGAGCCTGACGCGGGGCTCGAACTCACTGTCCACTCTAACTTCTAATCCAATTTCATTTCACCCTTAGCATCTTGGCTTCCCTGATACCTTAGAAGAAGTTGAGTGCCCCAGGACCGTCCTCTTCTTGTCTTCAGTGGCTGATTGATGTCTACTTCTTTCAAAAAAACATAAAAAGTTGTAAGAAAGCAGAACCATATCTGCATTATTCTCCGCTGTCTAGCCATGTTCAAAGTAATTGTTCAAAATGTACTTGAATGGATATGTCAATGCATGTGAGTCAAAATAACAACTATCACTTCTATGTTTTTTACTAAGTGCCAGGCTCTGTGCTGAGTGTTTTATATGTGAGAATGAATAGATGGATGAATGACCATCAAAAATGAGCACTAATAACATTAGAATCATCTAAATGAATAGTCAATCCTGTCTTAAACAAGTTATGCATGAAACTTTTTGTTTACATAAAATGTAGAGGAAAGTTTCAAAGTCCAGTATTATATGATTTACATAACTTGCAAACCAGAGAGAAACCCAAGTTTTGTGGGTAAACTGTTAAGATCAAACCTTGGGGGGGGGGGGGTGGGAAGGATAAAACAAGAAGGTATTAACAGTAGCCAGAGAAAACAGGAGATAGGAGATAAGAAGCCTGGAGTAAAGGTACATTTACTCAGGTTCCCAGAGAGGTAGATTACCCAAAAAGGGTTGAAAACTAATGCTATATATTCTATTTGGTGAACTGTATTTTTCACTTAGTACATGTTGAGCATCTTATCATGTCATTAAATGCTCCTCTGCAATATTTTTTCAACTGGCTACAAGGATTCTATTAGGCATGTGCCATTATTTACTTATTCTCCTAATTCTGGACTACCTAAATGTTAGGTTACTTTGAGGTTTTTTTTCTTATCAACTCATAGCTAAATCTTTGCACATGTCCGAGTATTTGCTTAGAATAAATTTAATATATTGAATGGACAAAACTATAGGTACCAGTATTTCCAATTCTATGGATTCACAGATATTTTACCCAGGCTGAGATCATATCCTTCCTTTAGTTCATAGAGCACAAAGCTGACAACTTCAAAAAAATTAACAACGTGTATAGCATTTTTATCTGCTTGCATTGAGTTACTTTACCATTTCTTCATCTTGCCTCAATGAAAGCAGCAAAATGTTAATAACGTTAAATTGAAAGAAATTCTGAAGGTGCCATTTGGAGATGGCAGGACGTTGGTCCTATGGTGCATTCTTAACAGTGAATATTTAACATATTTGTCATGCTATTTCTTCTAACTCTGGGGAATTTTATTTTTTTAACAAAAAAATATCTTTAATGTTTATTCATTTTTGAGAGACAGAGAGAGACAGAGCGTAAGCAGGGGTGGGGCAGAGAGAGGGAGACAGAATCCGAAACAGGCTCCGGGCTCTGAGCTGTCAGCACAGAGCCCGACGCGGGGCTCAAACTCACGAACTGTGAGATCATGACCTGAACCGAAGTCAGATGCCTAACTGACTGAGCCACCCAGGCACCCCTAATTCTGGGAATTTGTAAATGTATGGATCTCTGTACTATGTTTTCAAGAAAAATCTCTAGTTTTCTAGATTAGTAAGATTTTTTAGAAATATTAACTGAATACTTTTGATTTCTTACCTTCTAAAAGGCAAACCAGGCCATTGATGGCTTGTCTGGTCTGAAGAGTTTCTAAAATTAGTATGAAGCCAGTCCTACTGTGACATAATAATGAGTAGAATCACGGATTTCATAAATCATAAGGCTCAGGGTCTATGAGAAAGTCAGCTGGGCCGACATTCCTGGAAGAATGAAAGCTCCTCCAAAGTCAGTGCTGGAAATAAAAGATGAGAAGCCATGATGTTTCTATTTAAAAGAAATTTTATTGTAGAGGATGTACTTCAGCAGTGGCCATTCTTCAAGTGCAACGTCATCCTAGACAATAAAATGCTATAGGACACAATATAAAGCGGGGGAAAGTATAGCTAAAGAACTACTCGGTCTAGAATCGCTATTTGTGATATGGAGCCTTCTGTGATACCAGTTGTTACCTTGAAAAAACTTTTTTAAAAGAGTGATCCCAATCTCAGAAAACACTAATAGATCTTCAAACTGTAAAACCCTTCTTGCCGGCTTTTAACCTTTCAAACCTACATGTTGTCAGATGAGTAAATTTAGTGGATGAGACGTATTCGGATCCCTTATAATAGAGATCTGATAATTAAGATGAAGAAAAAGCCCAACAGATAAGAACTTGTCTCAAAAGTTTTATCCCATTTTCATATTTCTTATGAAATTTGGTTTCCAGAGATGATGCCCAAAGAAGTAGAACAGCACTTTCACGGGGTTTTTGTTGTTGTTGGTTGGTTGGTTTTGTGTTTTGTTTGCTTCGTTTTGCTTTTGCAAGTTCAGGTGTTTAACTGCTGTTTTTCTTCCAAAATGGTAGTTTTTTTCCCTTTAGTCCACTGCATCAAGTCACGGGATATCACATTTCTAACAACACGTTGCATAGGCCAAATGCTTTCTGAAATGGGCAGTACTCAAACGTCATGACATGAAGCATTAAGACCCATGCTGCCCTCTTCCTTGAAAGCTAAATTCCACTAATTATTTTCAGCAGTTTGCTCCTACCAACAAACATTCTTCTTAGCACACACTATTTATGCATCTTTAACTATGGTACAGATTCTTTGAAGACCTCTCCTTGTATCCCTAAGATAACGAAGTATCTGAAACATTCACTGCATCAGTTAATGCCAAAATAGTAGAGAGTAAATCATCTCAGGTTTCCAACTAAAATGAAGACTCTTCCGTCTGGTAGGTCACCAAAAAAAGTGAATGTACCCATCAACTCCAGAACTTCTCACAACAGAGTCCCAGAAAAGTGCCTTCCTACCAAAAGATCCAGTTGACAACATAAGATACCAGGTTCAATCGAATAAGGTAAAGTTTCAACCTTTGGATAGCTGGCTCCAGACGGGGTAAACTCCATCCTACATTTATTTATAGCATGCTGTTATCTCTTGGGTTGACACAGAGACCAAGGAAAATCTGACCTGAGGATCTCATGAATGCTGTATCTCGGGCTTCTGGATACAACTGGCAGAGATCCCCAAAGACCGGAAAGTTCTATGGTTTACTATCATGACATCAATGTGGGTAGACCCAATGTTAGGTCAGATGCCATGTTTGAAATAAAAAAGTGTGCTTTTCTGAAAGAAGAGTGCAGACTTGTATCAGTGATACCGCACCCCAACTCAGAGAAATATGACCAGTTTAGTATAGCAGGAAGAGGTCATTTTCCAAACTGGTTGCATTCCAACAGAATTTCCTAAAGGTCAAGAAGGCACGCTATATTTCTCTGTAAACAAAACAGAGTGGGAAAGAATGATAAAACACTCAAGACGGAGTCTTGGCACACAGAGAAATTTTTTAAATATGTAGGTGGAGATCTAGGCATTCTTAGAGGTGAGGTAGAGTCTCACAGGGATGCAAAATGAAGGAAATGTTTAGAGCATCCACAGATCAGGAACACCATGCCTCCACCTGCTCTGCCCACTGCAGGCCCTCAATAAATGTTTATTGACTTGAATTAATAAGCTTCATAGTTCTAAAATGTAGGCCGAGGCCTAATTAGCTAGTCTATGCAAACCAGGAAAAAAAAAAAGTCATTCTTAATGTACCTCCATTTTATATTTGGAGAACAAGGGGCACGGAATGGTTAAGTTACATCCTCATATCACCTTATAAGTTAGAGGCAGAGCCAAGACAAGAGCCCAGATGCACAAACACCCACCAGCCACCCCTGAACTGGCCAAATACTAACAAGGCCAGTCGCTGAGGAGGCAGGAACTCCAAAACAAATGAACTTTGAGGTCTAGATTCAGAGAATTTTTAGCTCCCTCAACAGATGAAGGGACTTGAAATTAACTCATCAAACTCTCCCAGTGCCTGGCTCAGGAAATTGGGGCTTCCCAGTTCAGGTAAGAAGTTACGGAGGAAGAATTCTAAGATGGCCCGAGGAAGACTGACAAATAGTAAGGTCTCACCAAAAAGGTATGAGTTCTGGAGGCAGACAGTCCTGTTTGGCATCCAACTCTATCACTCACCAGCTGTGACCTGAAGCAATTTACTAACCTCTCCAAGACTCAGTTTCCTCTTCTATAAAACAAAAATTGTAATGGCCATCTTGCAGAGTTGATGTGGAAATTGAACGCTAGTACAAACACTAGTCCATTATAGGCACACAGAGACAAACCAACAAACAAAATGCCAGTTAAAAAGAACAATCCCACTAAGAACAGCAGAGTGTCATACATTTAGAGGATGTGTGAAGGTTTCCACCAACCTGATGAAAGGAAATCTAAAATAGTTAATAAATACATGGACAGGGAGGCATTCAACCTGAAGATCACAAGGATAATTTTTTCCAGTATGAGAAAAATGCAACTCATTTGCTCCAGCAACTCATGAGCAGATGTCACTCTGGAATGATGCCCTTGACACAGGGCAGGCTGCCTTTCATTGTCTGTTCTCTTCCTTATTCTCCCAGTTATGGCTTTTAATATTTGATGTTCATCAGATACACCACATACTGCATGGTGGTATATCCATATACCATATAGATGTGTTTCTTTTTTTAATTTTTTTTTTCAACGTTTATTTATTTTTGGGACAGAGAGAGACAGAGCATGAACCGGGGAGGGGCAGAGAGAGAGGGAGACACAGAATCGGAAACAGGCTCCAGGCTCTGAGCCATCAGCCCAGAGCCCGACGCGGGGCTCGAACTCACGGACCGCAAGATCGTGACCTGGCTGAAGTCGGACGCTCAACCGACTGCGCCACCCAGGCGCCCCTCGATGTGTTTCTTTTTTAATTGAAGTATAATTGACAGAATGTTACCTTATAGATTGCCTTTTTAATACAGACTCACAAGATTGAGGTCAGATGTAAAACACACTTAAATTTGTTCAAAGACTTAAGAAGGAGTTTAATTACTTAACGTTGCATCCAATGGCAAGATCTGTGACAGAATTGGCTACTGAAAATGCATTTGGGGGGTTCTCACCTTCTAACCAAAACTTGTATTAAATCAACATAGTGATATGCATTTGAAATTTTATTTGGCAATACAATGGTTTCTATTATCCATATCTCTGTATTAAAGGGAAACCATTCCTTTTTCACATGGAATTGATTTCAAAAGGAATTATATTTCTGAGAGAGAGATACTTACGAGATCTGTACCTGGGAGCCTCTGAGACTATAGATGTTAAATAGTATCAGTGTTGAAAGAACCTCAGTGGTCTGCTGAGAGCCTTGAAATATGTACCAATACACTTCTCTTGACCCAAGACTGCAGTCTAGGAGCCACTTAAAAATCTGTGGTAATGCAATGACCATTTAGAGTAACTTAAGAATCACCTCCAACGGGCAATTACATTAAGAAAACAAAACAAAACAGGATGGTGAAGACAATTTGATTCCCATTAGAAAGTTAAAAATCCTGGCAACTTTCTTACTTCTTCAGGGTGATGTAAGTCAGAAAACTTCAGGTTAAGGAAAGCCAGGAATATACAATCCAGGGTAGGTTTTTAAATTAAATTTACCAATTTACTGTTTCCTTAAACACAATAGAAGCCAAAATTTTTATGGGGACATTTCCCCAATAATAAAGCCAAGCAATTTCACCTTCTAAGACATCAAAAGTCAACACTTTTGATTACACAGGACCCTATTTTCTTCAAAATTAAATTTCACATTAGTGAATTTTGATCAACAAACTAGTCTTAGTTTCCCAGATGTCCTGCTCCATTCCCAATGACCTGGAGGGGCACTGTGAAGTCAGGGAAGTTTATAAGGGCTCTGCTTTGTCTATCTCCCTCTAAATGTTGGGGTTTCATTAAGTTCCATCTTTCCATCTTCCACCATCTTCTCATCTTACTTTACAGACTCTCCTTGGGTGATCTTGTCCACTTCTCCCTACGTGCTGATGACTTTCAACTCTCTCCCTACCTCTAGCTCAGCTCTTTCTCCTCAGCTGCAGACTCATATCTCCAAACGCTTTCTGGACATCTCTGCCTGGATACCCCATTCTCAAATTCATCATGCACATCATGGAGCTCTTGTTCTCCATCAAATGTACCCCTCTTCCACCTTTCTCATTTTCCTTGCTGGTGCCAAGATCCGTCCAATCACATAGCCCAGAACCCCGAACACAGTGCTATATAAGCACAGGGGACACTTCAAGTATAGTAGCAAATTTACTACAGGGCAGGAGGGCAGGGAGGCATTCCAAGTGGCATATGTAATCATTGAGACACCAAAATGAGAAAGAGCATGGCATGTGTATTATTAGTCAGGATAGGATAGGCTCCGCTGAGATGGTAAATAAACACATAATCTGTGTGGCTTTTTGTTTTTCTCTTTAAAAAAAGATCTGATGGGGGCGCCTGGGTGGCTCAGTCAGTTAAGTGTCTGACTTTGGCTCAGGTCATGATTTCACCGTTCCTGCGTTCAAGCCCTGCATCGGGCTCTGTGTTGACAGCTCAGAGCCTGGAGCCTGCCTTGGATTCTATGTCTCCCTCTCTCTCTGTCCCTCCCCCACTTGCACTCTCTCTCTCAAAAATATATAAACATTAAACAAATTTTTAAAAAAAAATATCTGATGCCAATTGGTCAGTTTTCTTGCAACATAAATCCAGGACTT